AAATGACAGCTGTATACCTTAACTTCAGCAGTATGTTGCTGTAGAATTATTGTACTAAACTTTGATTTTACAGTAAAATACACATTAAGGTACTGTATAAGATGGGGTCGTATATGGTCCTATATGAAACTCTTTTTCTAATTTGGTCAAAATTGAATCTTTTGCAGGGATGGGGCTGCATGTTCCTTTGTGGGCGTGGTCAGCATTCTCTGCCTGGAGCAAATCCGGCTCGGAATGGCATCTTACCAGCCAGTGGTAGAAAAAGCTGTTCAAAACAGAGCATTCTGAACAGGGGGATATCTGAGGTTTTGGCTCACAGGGATATCTTTTAAATACTTTTACCTCATTATTTGAAGCTTTGGTCATGTTTAACATGAATCTGACATTGTAATATTGTAGATAAGTCATAAAATATGGAAAAGCATAATAGGTGTTTTATACATTTTTACTGTATAATCTATACATACATTTCTGACATTGTGAATACTATTTTTGGATTATTTCGGGTTGAGGTAATGAATCAGATTTTTTAGTAGTTATGGTCATTTCTTTAATTTAAACTATTTTGTTAAATGGCCTACCTTAAGAAAATAGAATAGCACAAAGGAACATTAACTATTTTTTCTTAAATATTAATACATTTTCATGCTTGACATCCTGTACACTATTGATTCTTATTGTAGTCCATCAGTAACGCATAACAGTTACTCATTTCCAACACGCCACCTTTTTTCTCCAGTGCAGAGGCCAGTGCGCATGCTCCGCCTCCCTGAAAACCACATGCGTCTCCCCTCTCTGCTCTCTCCAGTGCCAAGGCGGAGAGATGAGGACACCGCAGCACAGAAATGCGCACAGCTCCGTGCCAGACTCGGCGATACCCTCACCTCCCGACACTCCTGGCCCGTCTCCCAACGCAATGGGTTAGAGGGGAACATGGCACACTTTGACACACTTTGCATGTCACGGGAAATGCCCTGCGTTGTCGGGAGATCTGCGCTGCCGAGCGGCTGAATTGAGAGCACAATAACACAGAGACCTGACATAGCGGGACCTGATTCCAGTCATTTCTATCCCACTTCCTCTCCCACTTTGGTTTTGAGAGATGATCACTGAGCTGGTGTGCACCGCCGTGGCTGTGGGTCTCTATCTGAACACGCTGGAGGCAGATTTCTGCTACGATGACAGGTAGGTTTCGCCCACGGAGCGCAGCAGCGCCGCTGCCAACAACATCCACCATCCGGTCCTCCACTTGTCATATGCTCTTGTTACCTCCGCACCGAAGCGGAGGGGGGACGGGTCGTTGCGCCTGCCTACATGTTTGCATGTGCTGTTGTGAGCCTGTAATAGATCACGTTTATTTTCCGGCTGTAGTCACAGGCACAAAGACATGGAGAAGGAAGGGGGTGTAGGCTACTGAAACCTGAACAGTGAAGTTGTAGTAATATTACCAAAATAAGCCTGCAGTGGTGTATTCACATTTATTTAACTTGGACTGCTTCTCATTGAGATACTGCTTTGTTGCTTAACTGTAGCCCATGCCGTGTACCTCAAATTGTGCGTGTAATGTTCCACCAGCGACTTGACATTTTGCAAAAGGTGACAAAAACTCTTTTGTTCACAGTAACTAACAGCGCAAGAGGTGAAGTTCAACACGTTGTGAACTGAGCGCAGCCTGGATCGGTCCCACCGCCTGCTGCTCACACTAAGTGGTTCAGATGCTCCCAGTGCTGGTGAAGCACTCATGCCTGTTATAACAATGCCCTGCACCCGGGGGGATTAAAGCTAATTTAAACCGGAGTTTAATTTCGCTAACAGCTGAACAAATTAGGCAACACTGTCATGCTGTTGAGGGGCATTCTGGGAAAACCTGCGCTACATTGATGGACAGTGATGCACAGAAACGATGGACAAAACATGACTTCAAAGTTAAAACTTTTACTAGGCTTACCAAAAATGTGTTCATAATATCTACCACTGTTAATAGTAAGATTCAAATAGAGCAGTGGTTCCAAGCCTGAGGTTCAGGACCCTCCAAGGAGGCACAAGAAATCTGATGTAGCCAGATGATAACAGAGAAAAACACCCTACTAACATTCATTAATGTGCTGATTATTTTATCCATTAACTGAATACTCATTTAATCTATAAAATGTCAGAAAACTGTTAAAAAAAAAAAAGACAAAACAAGCCTTCCCAATTGTCTAAGGTGATGTGTTCAAATGTCGAGCAGACATTTAGCTTACAGTTGTATAAAACAGAAAAGCAGCAAAAACTGTAATGAGAGAATATTTTTGGTTTAAACGATTAATCATTACCATAGTTGCTCATAATTATTTAACTCCTGAGACATAGTGTATAATTTTCTTACACAAAATGATGTTTCTTCTCTGGTTTGTCTCTAATTTTTGGCCCTTTTCTTGTTAAACATTCCATTCTTTTAGCTCTCGGGGGCCTCTGAACACCACTCAAATGATGGAATCTCAGATGGAAGGCTCACTGTTTGGTTGAAGTGCTTGTGATTTATGTCCACATGGAGGGCATAACCTGTGATTGCAGTTGCACCACAGCTGGTCCCCTTTTAAAAAGAAGAGCTGGGCAGATAGTTCTTCACTGACTCTGAAAAACCGTATATGTTCAAAAGAGGTTTTGGCTCCTGCAGATGTTCTGTCAAAACTGATATTAATTAGACGTCCATTATCGAGCATTAAATCACAGGGTGAAAAGTACTGATATGCGAGGTATGTGGTAGATTTCTCTGGGGATTAAAAGACAGTGAACAGGTCGCCTCCCTTATTCGTTCACAGCTCAGTCAGTTGTTGCTGGCTGGTATGCGTCTCCAGACACCCTTTAAAGGTCAAAGATCCCCCCACTTTACTTTTCAGCATCATCAGTGACCCCTTTGTGTGTTATATATGAGCAAGTCGAAGTGTGTGAAGATGGAGGAGGTAGTGGAGAAACATAGAGTGGTGGTAAAAATGAGCTCTGTGTGCTCCATTCCATCAAGTCAAGTATTCCTGTAAAGCACCCAGTAGCTATTCATCCATCACTCATCTGTACATGTGACTGTGACACTGCGAGGTTGTTGAAAGAAAGCCCTTCGGTAACATATTACCCCGGGCCCTGCCCTGCCGCACTTCAACCTACGCTCGCACTCCGTCCCCTCAGTGAAAGTTCCGTGTACGAAGATGCTGTGTATCTATCAATGTCACCATTGTAATTTGCACTCCTGGGGGGGACACACGCTGCAGGTTTGGTTCAGCGTGCTCAGATGGAGGAGGTTGAATACCAATCAGAGGTCTGACCTTCCCTGGTCGTTCATCAAACGCTGTCCTCTGTCGGGGTCAAGAGTCGTGTGCTCCCGGTCTTTTCCCCCTGGGATTAGAAGAGAGTTGTGAGCAAAAGGTTATGGCAAGAGAGGGATTGAAGTGGTGGATGGTGGCACTAATTATTCTGGTCTGGAGTTGTCTTGGTTGTAGACAAATTTGTCTTTCTACAGTTACCTTTTTAAGCTGTCTTGTTGTTAGCTGAGACCATCTTATTTGACCTTCTATTGACCTTTTATCATCTGACCTTTTATCATCAACTCTTGTGACATGTCACATGCGGTTCTTAACATTGAAAACGAGACGGCGTCAGATAATTCTATGTCAAGGCACGCCAACTTGTGGGGATGTTCTGGCCGGTCTCTGCTTTTTCAATCATGTCAAGTGTTTTTCCTGGGCACTGCTCAGGGCCCAGCCAAGCGCTGTCTTGGCCAATGCAAGCCCAATGAAAAGCCTCTGCGTGTGAAATGACTTAAGTTTTACAGGAGATGGGATACGACTTGAGCCAGGCCATTTTTGATTGTTGGGGGCGAGGGGGGGACACATTTCCGTGCTATTCACAGTGCTGATATTTTGACATTTGTACAGGCTGTTAGATGGACTTCTTGAGAGTTGTGGTCATAGATTGGAAAATATTTACCGTTACCTCTGAACTCTCCTTTAAATACCCGTCATCAAGGCTTTTGACAGGTTAACAAAGGAGGCTCCGCATGATGCTGACATTTCAATGATATTTGTTTTTAAAAACACCTTTTGACAAATGGACCCAGTAATGGATGTCTTTACTAGGAAAACTAGGGGATTATTCAGTAGATGTCAAGAGTGAAGCAAGGACAAGAGATAAAGGAGGTGACATGGTGAAATGAAATGCATCCTAAGAAGCTTTCAGCATCCCAAGTTGTGTATCCCAAAACATCTGTGACCCTAATCACATCACAGTCCCTCTGCGCATCTCAGAAATGCATTATGGTCCCTCAGGGAATAGAAGTGAATACATCGTCCCTCTTTGTTTTAGAGCAAAACAATTTAATCTCTGGGTGAGG